AAAGAAAAAAAGAGAAAAAAGAACTGGCTGCCAAAGGAAGAAGTTGAAGAAGTAGTCAGATGTTGGATAATGTAAGGATATTATGGGGAGAAGTTACTTGTTAATCACTTATAGAAGTTAAAGGGTGAAAAAAATTAATGGAAGTTTTTAACCCTTTAACTCCCGGTGGTGATTCACATAAAACTTCTACCTACAATATCCATACATTCTCCAGCAAACAGGTAAATAGAATATTAAAACTTATCAGGTAGAAGCTGCTATCTTGATCTAGCACCAAGTTCTCATAACTAATTCACAAGGAAATGTGTATCAGCTACAGGGGAGGATTAACAATCAGATCTTGGGAGTTAAAGGGTTAAACTAGTTTGTAATTTATTTTTTTTAATGTTTGTTATTCATTAAGTATTTAGTGGTTATGATTACTCAGTAAGTAATCATGCATGTTTATAAATTTGAGTATTCTTGTTACCTATTTGTTGGATAACATAAGGATTTTATGGGAAGAAGTTTCTTGTTAACCTTTTGACTGCCACGAGTGACTCAGACAGAATTTCTCCCTACAATATTAATACAATATCAACCAGATAAGTGAAGAGACCAAAGAAGAATATCAATTTTGGGTTAATTAGTTGATCAATACTAAATTCTCTGACCTAACATCATAAGAATTGTATGATTGATAATACGGAGAATTAAAAATTCAATCTGGGAGTTAAAGGGTTAATCACTTCTAGGAGTCAAAGGGTGAAAAAATTAATGCAAGTTTTTAAACTAGTTTGTTGTTTAATTATGTTAATGTTTGTTATTCATTAAGTATTTAGTGGTTATGATTACTCACTAAGTAATCATGCATGTTTATAAATTTTGATCAAAGAAAAATATAAATTATTGTTGTTGTGCTGTATCACATTCAACAGATGTAGAGCAGTTGTTAATTAAAAGTTAACTCTCAATCTTTTGAAACTGTTTCTTAATTGTCCCCTCAAGCTACTACACAATTCCTTCTAGATAGCTTATGCAAATTGGGTATTAGATCAAGATGACAATTTCTACCTGATAAACGTGAGTATTCTCATTACCTATTTGTTGGATAATGTAAGGATATTCTGGGGAGAAGTTTCTTGTTTATCACTTCTAGGGGTTAAAGGGTTAAAAAATTAATGCAAGTGTTTAAAATAGTTTGTATTCTAATTATGTTAATGTTTTTTTATCCATTAAGTATTTAGTGGTTTTGATTAATCAGCTGGTAATCATGCGTATTTATCAATTATGAATTTTAATAAATTTTGCAAATAACATGTGCACTTTACAATGGCATGTTGAAAGTTATCTTTAAATATGTGGTAGAAAGGGAACGTCAAGGGAGGATAGCATTTGTTAGACACTAACATACACCTGTTTCAACAATAAAATGAATGTCCCACCCTTACCATATCTCTTTTAAATATTCTGGATTATTCTCATATTAACGGAGAAATGGTTGAGGGGAAGAGAGGTTAAGACCCAAAAAAGTTGCGTCATCATCTGGTGACGAAGTTTCGTAATTTTCGGTAGTTTAGCAGCCACGAAATAAGAAAGAATAGGGAACCCATTTATGGGCGATACACAAGTGTAAGAAAGCGTTCTTACCTAGTTCCTGCATTACAATGAGCTCGATAACGGTGTCATAAGAAAACTGATACCGAATAGTTAACATTTCAATTTTTACATTCGCCTGCTTCCCGAGATTTTTTATGGTGGCAGCGAACTCAAATTTTTGCTTAAGTCCGTTAATCCCAAACTTCATTAACCAGTCGCGTCTTTGAGCTTCTGCAATAAAGTGTAGATGCGCTGCTCCTTGAATACCAGCCTCTCGGTCACTCCTTCGTGGAACAAGACTCGACCCACTCTACCGATTGGACTCTTTAAAACTTTAGAAAACCCCCTTTTTTTTTCGTCTCACTCAAATTTTTGCTTAAGTCCGTTAATCACTTAAGTAACTTGTAGAAATGAACAGTGTGAATCTTACGTGTAAATCTGGTGGTTAGAGTTTAACATTAAAAATTGGTTGTTGCAAGCTTTAATTCAATGTATAATGTAAAAATTTTAGATCTAGATGTCTAAAAAGCTGGTGATTGCAAGCTTAAGGACTAGGACCACAAGAACCGTTCCAGGTGCTCACTTCTTAATCTGCGTTTAAAACCTAGATTGAGTAACAAAGTTTAAAAGAATCGTCCAACTGGTTGCATGAGGAAACCATTCAATAATTCATTGTTCTCTGTCCAAATGCTGTTTTAAACTTAAGAAAAAACATGAAACAGGAAAAACCAAATATTTTTTTAAATTTTTCTCTTCACCATAGTTTTTAATATTATCTCTTCCCCTTGATAGTCTTATATCGAGCATGATCTGCACTTCCCCCTCCTCCCTCCCCCTGCCAGAAAAATCTATATCGAGCTCGGTTGCCCGGGAACAAATATTATTCAGCTCGGTCGGTCGCGAGCTCGATTTGATTCGAGCGCGATTACCAAATCGAGCTCGATTTGATTCGAGCTCGATTACAAAGGTTGTGACTCGAGCTCGGGTAGGCTTTCGAGCTCGAGTCACTTTTGTCGAGCTCGGTTGCTCAGGATCCTTCTAGTCGAGTTGTGACTCGAGCTCGGATAGGCTTTCGAGCTCGAGTCACCTATTTCGAGCTCGGTTGCCCAGAAACAAATATTGATCCAAATTTATGGTATAGGTTTCTCCCAAATTATACAACTGAAGAATTTCTCGCGTTTCTTCCAAACCCCTTAGTCACCACAATATGGTACGATATTAAATAGTTTGTTTAAAAATGAGAGACATGACAGGTCCTAAAAGCTATTAATGACCATCGTTTGAATACAAAACTTGTATACTCATGTTTTTCTAGTTTGCTTGTTCATTTTTACCCGGGGCAGTTCAATCTTTTTAACATCCTCTTAGTGTGACATGGGACCGAACAATAGAAGGGAAATTTTGAACAAAATTTTATTTGAAATGACGACGTTAAGTAGAATTGTGAGATCCTAATAGCTTCTAGTCCTAGTTTTTTTTTTAACCCAAAATAAGAAGGGGCCCGGGCCCCTTCCCTAGATCAGCCATTGATCTTTTATTTGAATTTGAATTTTAGACCATGCACAGGTGGTCTAAATGCTCAAATTCCAAACGAGCTTTTCTTGACAATCTTTATATCTTTACTGCTAAGAACTACAGAAATTTGAAAAAAATGTAACAGTAGAATTGTGAAATTATTTCGAAAAAAGCTTCTGGGACGTGGTGTTTGTCTCAGTCTAGTGACTCGAAGTTTGAAGCGTACTCATTTAGCGTCCCTCTCAAGGTCTTGCTCACAGTTCGAGATGTTACAGATATTAATTCACTTGATGCAATTCACTTGGTAGTTTGGGCCAGGTTACCTAAGTGCAAGAGTCACTTTTTTTTAATCCTTAACATTTGTGGAGATGTCAGGTATGTTAATTTTGATAAAAGGTAATGACTTCTTAGCCTAGAATAATGTCACTCGCATTTTACTGGTAAGGTTCAAAGTAAAGCTTAAGACAATCTCTGGTCATAGAATGCCAAACGATTGGCAATTCACCTCTATAATAACAATAACCGTAACGTATCAAAGGAAAAGTGTGCCGTGTGCGGTGGAAACACGTTTATTGCTGCTTTTTACTGTATATTGTTTGTTCGATCGTTGTTGTTGTTGTTAATTAGAGTAACGCCATCATGTGCACTTACATTCGTGGTGTACGAAAACGTTATTTACTTCTTTTTGCCAAACAGATGACATCGACAAGATAAACAATGGAATCCGGCCATGGGTAGCGAATTAATATACAACCCCTTAGCATTAAAAAATGCAAAAAACTGCAAGAGATGCCTTTTTGCAAGGTTTTTTTTAAATTACTATTTACTTAATAATAATTGAAAATTGAATTCTAACGCTACTTGTGAAAATTACTTGCAATTACATCAAAAAAGATGTTCAATATTAAGTTAATTAAAAAAATTAAGTTAATTTAGTTAATCGTAAAAAATTTACCTTATTCTGGTTTCTCTGTTCCTTACGTTACGATCTTTCTAAATAACCTCCTCTATTTGTTACTTAATCGTTGTGATTTAAAGTTAAAACCTGTTTTTATCTGTTTTTACTTCACTGGGTTCTGGTTTCATGCATTTGCCCGAACATCTCTTTGTTGTTGTTGTTATTTTTCTCTAGTTATTGATATCAAGTCCACCAAAAAATGGTGAAAGCTACTCTTTCGCGGTTGCTATTAAGCGAATTCGCTTCAAGTCTTTCACATAACCTTAAATCAGATGAATGTTAACGAGAACCTACTCTGGCCCATGGACTACACTGCCCTTAACATTTACTCTCGTGTTTGTGTTATGAAAGTCAGCTGAAAATAGTCCATGTAAGATAAATGTATCTTCAAAGAGATACACAGTGTTTGTTAAATAATGAGATAACATGCACGATGCCCTTCTATTTACACCACTCAAGAAGCAGAGCCACATAGTGACCCAGCTCATATCTTTGGGCTGAGGTTGAGGGGTGAGTTTTTATTCCCACGCCTGTAACGTAAGATGGTGCCTGCTTGTATTCCATTGACTCACGCTAAAATAACCCTAGTTAATAATTACAGCAAAAACAGGATGAAAAAAAAAAAAGAAAAAGAAAAAACGAAAAAACAAATTAATATATAAATAAAAGACTCGAAAACCGTACGCTTACGAGTTTGTGTCTTGCAGATTTTATATGAAGATTACTTTGAAGATCCTTCGGGCAACTCTCTTCGATGACAGAGGCTATCTGATGAGAATTATCATTCTAATGAAATAAATACCTGTTTGCCTCCAAAGATAAAGTCTGCTTATGATGTTTACTGTAGAGATGACAGGTTAACTACGCTACATGTTAGAAACCTTATATACAGGTATCTACGGTTCGATATATGAATCCTCTTACTACGCGAAGCATATTTGCTCCATTTTTAGTCTGTACCACAGTAGCGTGAGTTACATTCAAGTGGGAGAAGTTTGTAGATGAAGTAGGATCCACAGTTTTTTAAAGAAATTTCTGTTGAGAATTTGCAACCAGTAGATCGATCACTAAAGCAGACCAACCTTCGAACTTTACCATCTTCCACGGTAGGATGAGAGCCATCCAACCAGCCTGACCAGTCTGTACCACATCTGAATGCTGGCACACGCGTTGTTGGCATTTTTGTTCCTGCAGCTCCCACAAAACGATACCACCCAAAGAGAAATGAGTTGTCACAAAACACAAGGCCAGGGTGCGGTGTAGAGTAACTGCTCTTTCTATTGGCGTCACTCAGTGTGTGATAATGATAACAAGGATCGGCTTCAAAGTGAAATGACAATTGCAAAAAGATTGAAATATCAAAGATAACACTTTTTCTTTTAGAATTGTTTCCCAACAATTATGTAATAACATAAACTTCAATTTTCCATGGATTTACAAGTGCAATCAACGATTGCTTTTGACCAATCAGAGCACTCGTAGTATCTTGATTATTTAGACTTGATGATAATAATTTTCAACTTCTCCACTCAAATATATCTTGAGCGTCAACGAAAACGTAGCGCCATGGAAAATCATTGACATATCCATCCTCTGCACAGGGTTCAGAGCCAAACGAGCGATTTTATATTCATGCTTCTTTTAATCATTGTTATAAAGTGAAATTTAAAACAGAATAACAATGCAGCAGTCACCAAAATTGTTCATTTAAAAGTCAGGAACATTACCTAAGAGGTTCTTAGCATTAAGGTTACTTCCCACCTTCGCGGGCCCGGGTGTCCTTCAGGAAAAAATTCGTTCGCGGGCTAGTTTCACTAAAAACCTAGCAAACAGTATATCAGGAGAAAGCATAAAAAATTTAATTTACGATGAAAATAGAATTTAAGCGACTTTCCTTTTAAGGAAGTGTCAGCAGCCGGTAAGGCGTGAAACGACTGAAGGTTCTTCTTTTGAATTTATCGGGTATGGGATGCCGCAGCACGAGCTAGTTGGCTGCACAGTCTCATTCAGAAGACATCAATCAACATATGTCAGGTTTCTTCGATATTCTGATTGATTGTCTGAATATCGGCATCTCGAGTTAGAGTAGCTAAAAATATGCGAGTCGTGTTGCGTAAAGGGGGACAAATATTTCAAATATCAAATTTCCCGACACACTGTCGTTTGTCAATATTCCTAGGATGTTTTGGCGAAATTTGACAAAAATCGGTCAAATCTACATACCTTATAAATTCGCTCGAAGTGCACGTGGTTTTATTCCTCCCAAACTCAAATGCGAGAGTTTAGTTCATAAGGGTTCGCAAACAACTTGCCCCACGCCAGGAGATTATCTCGCCTCCTCCTAGTGTCACTGACTATGAATCAAGATTTCCCGGGAAAAGAAACCCATTGCAGACACGTTTTTTTTTTTTTTATCTCGATCGCTAAGTGGAGGACGACACAATGATTAGCAAAGCTCCCAATGTGTGGCTTCATAGCTCAGTTGGTAGAGCATCGCACCGGTATCGCGGAGGTCACGGGTTCGAATCCCGTTGAAGCCCTGATTTTTTTCAGGCTTCTTCTCTCCAATTGCTTAAATTGGAAAATTTACTGCGATGATCACATTTCACTTTCATCTACAACCGCAGTACAAATATGAATTATTTCATATAATCTTCACATCATTTCACTGCACGGGAAGATATGAACTCAATAAATTGACCTCGCTCCCAATGTGTGGCTTCATAGCTCAGTTGGTAGAGCATCGCACCGGTATCGCGGAGGTCACGGGTTCGAATCCCGTTGAAGCCCTGATTTTTTTCAGGCTTCTTCTCTCCAATTGCTTAAATTGGAAAATTTAGTGCGATGATCACATTTCACTTTCAAAGTTCCTAAAGGCGAAAAAAAAAACCCGCGGCAAAAATGGAAAAACTGCAAAATGTGCTGAGGAGCAAAACAACGAATCGACATACAGCTTTCAAAATTGCGATTTGAGGCAAGTGTTAATGTTTTTGTATCAAGGCTGGTACTTGCAGAAAGAAAAGGAGACTTCGTTTTTAACATTATGTATGGTAAATTTTGGTTTGACGGCGACTTCTTTGTTCAAAATCTGGACGCCAGCATGGAGCTCCGCCAGTACCAATCGCTTTCACAAGAGAAGTTCTCTTTCTTTTACTGACAGATTGGTAGTCTCTCTTTTTTGACAGATTGGTACTCTTTCTTTCTTCTTTGAACCCTTTTTTTTTTTTTTTTTTTTTTTTTTTCAACAACGACTTTCTTCCGCTTTTGATTTTCCATAAGCAAAGATTTTTCATCAAACAAAAAGCTTTCACGAGTGAATTTTGTAAAGTGTTCGATGTAAGCAAAATATGGCAATAACAGGAAATCGAGCCTCGACATGAGTAGTTGCCGCGAAAGTTCCCCCAGAGGATTCGCTCAGGTCCGAGATTATGATAACTTCCTTATTCATTAACTTTTATTAGAAAATATGTTTTTCTAAATAAAAGAAAATCGAGTTTTTCGGCCTCCGAGGGTGGGAAGTAAACTTAAATTAAAACGAGTTATGGGTGATAAATGATCTAATTGTCCTGTAACGCGGCTGAATGGTGCGGTGCTGTAGTCGAGCGTGTCATGCAGGACTGCTCTAAGCACAGAATACATGTAGCGAGGAAATTAAATTCACCTGTGCAGCTTCGTCCATTTCCAGTATATCCTGGGTGACATTCACATAGATGTGATCCAAGGATGTTCGTGCAGGTAGCATTTAAGTGACAAGAGTGATTTCCTTTACACTCGTCAATATCTGTAAAATCATAAATAAATTTAAAAAATTGCCGAGTATAAGCTTAGATACCTGATTCTTTCTGTCTTGTGTTTGTAGACGCAAGCACTTCACATTACCGCTCACCAGATTTTATTTCTCGGTTCCCCCAGTTTCAAATCTGTCCTTCTGTCCTGTAAGCTTAAATCCATCAAGTCTCCCTTTGCCAGTTGAGATTTTATTTTACCACTGAATGTTTATCTCACTCTTTAACTCCCATGAGTGACCAAGACATAATTTCTCCTCACCAAATCAATACAATATCAAACATACAAGCGACGAGAATAAAAAAAAATATCCTTTTGATTATCAGTTGATTCACTACCAAATCACAGAAAAACTCTATTACAGACAGTAAGGAGAATTACTCATGTGATTTTGGGAGTGAAAGGGTCAATACAATGGTGTCGATGTCACCATTGTCTTAAGCACTAGACTTATCTCTTTCTTATAAAATGAATGCTGGTAAAACAAGTCTCGCAAAGATGATAGTGCTTTTCTTTCTAATGGGAATGGTTACAAAAGAAACGCATCAATTACCTGTACAGTCGCTTCCATTTCCAACATAACCGGGGTTACAAGTACAAACATACGATCCATTGGTGTTCGTGCAGGTAGCATTTACGCGACAAGAGTGATTTCCTTTACACTCGTCAATATCTGGAAAATCATAAAAATAATAATAATAATTAATAATTGGAAAAAAAGTTGCCGAGCATAAGCTTAGAAATCTTAGTCTTTTTGTCTTGTGGTTTTAGACGAAAGCGCTTCACATTACCACTCACCAAATGTATTTCCTCGGTTCCCCCAGGTTCAAATCTGTTGTTCTGTCTTGTAGGCCTAAATCCATCAATTTTCCCTTTGCCAGTTGAGATTTTTTACTTCTGAATGTTTATTTAACTCCTTCACTCCCATGAGTGACAAGACAGAATTTCTCCTCACCAAATCAGTACAATTTGAAACAGACAAGTGATGAGAATAAAGGAAAATATACTTTAGGGGAGTATTAGTTGATTCACTACCAAATTCACAAAGCTGGCATCATAAAAATTCTATGGCAGACAATAAGGAGAATTACTCATGATTATTTTGGGAGTGAAAGGGTCAATAAAATGGTGTCGATGTCACCAAATATTCATAATGACATTCTTATTATTCAATTGAAAATGACCGAAGTCTGGTCGAAACTTCGTGAGAAACTATTTTGCCGCTAAAATGCACTCAAAGACTCTTAGCTTCTTAGTAGTGTAACTGCCCGAAATATATTATAAAAAATAGAATAAAGGTTTCTGATTTACAAAATAGAAACTGGAGATGGTGGCGCTATCCACGGGAATAAGCATGGCTTACTTGTGCCAAATGATTCTGTCTGATGCTAGAGCTAATCTAACGTGGCGTGCAAATGCGGGCCTATTTGCTTTGTCGGAGAGAAGTAACAGTCGGAAATGCGCTAAAGTTCGTATGCTAATTTAATAATGTACCTTGGCATGACTTTCCGTCCCCAGTATATCCCTCCATACAGGTACAAAAGTGAGAGCCTTTGGTGTTGGTGCAGTTTGCATTCTCATCACAAGTATGGTCTCCACTGCTGCATTCATCGACATCTAGAAGTACATGTGATGTAAAAAAGGAAATTAAATAGAAAGAAAAAAAATGGGCAGAAGAAAAATTGGGCTCAAATATTACTCAGCGGTCAGCTAACTAGTACTTCTGTTGCAGTCATATCTTTCACTAATTAAATACTGTGCATGTAATGAAAAAAAAAAGTGGGAACCCACAATTTCCACTTTCATTAACAACTTGTTGCTTCAAATGCTTAAGCTATTCTTAACACTTGATCGATCCTCAATCTATCATTCCTTAGAATTGCAGTTGCGCGAGGAACAGAAGTATATTCTTATGCAGTGATCAGCCAATTATTTGAACTTTAAATAATTGAAAATTTCAGTAATAATCCATCCGTACAAGTACAGTTAGGAGAGCCATTGATATTAGTGCACTTTGCATTCACCTCACAAACATGGATTTTCTCGCTGCATTCATCGATATATATATGTAAACAAAAGTGTTTGTAATGATGATGATCAAAGTGATGGTGACGAGGATGATGGTGGATGATGATGGCGATTTCTTGGCAATGATGTGGACGATGACTTTTTTTGGTTTGTTTCGTATTAATGTCACAAACGTTTTTAGGATCGCTTCACTCCAAAAAAAATATCTACATAACACAGCGTTATACATGTTTCCTTTTGCCTCCGATGCAAGTGTTTGAGTTAACCTTGATGTATTCCTGCATTCATCAACTACGTCAACACTATAAATTTGCTTTAATCTGTAGATGAACTCAGCATCATGAGAAGACCTCGCATAGCGGTGAGCTAAAACAGTTGATAGAGAAACACATTCATGATCATCTTGGATGACGAAATTAAGTGTACCTGAACATGAGTGTCCATCGCCAGTGTATCCCGCTTTACAAGTGCATTTGTAAGAAACGTACGTATTAGTGCAGTTTGCATTCACATCGCAGTCACTGATGTTATATTTACATTCATCCATATCTAGAAATTAGAATAAAGGCAAAGAATAAAGTAAAACGAAGTGAAAAGGGTATCCACGCTAGAACTGATATTAACCAAACAAATATTAGTGATAAAAATAAAAATAACATTAACATAATTTGTGGTATAAAGTTAAGTTAACTTATAAAAAAAATAAGACCTACCCCCGCTAGCCATATCACAGTTAATCAGTATTGCCTTCCCAGTGCCTGTTGGATCCACCCAGTACTTGCCGCTGATGGTGTTTTTACCTTCACTCGCCTTTATTTCGAGACAGGATATCGCCGGTAACTCAGGAATAGAACCCAAAGGAGCTGCAGTAAAAACAAAAGTCTTGTTTTCGTCCTATTCTTATTTTTCAATCATAGATGAGATGGAACAAGGTTGGCTAAGTGGGGAGAAAATCTAGAGAAACAAAAATTAGCGAGACACATAGACTTCTGACTTCTTACCTCTGTCGTTCAATCGCCTGATGTAAAACCACGAGGGGGCTGAAAGGAAATTCTCCGGTCTCGCCTCCTTGGTGCGGTTATTTAGTTCACACATTTGGTATTTTCGATTGTAGTTATAACTTTGGCACGCGATCTCTTGTCCACATTTGACATCGCAAAGGTGAGGAGTCGCCACTGACCATCTTTTAAAGACAGAGCGTTTGAGAGCCATTCCTTGTATGTTTACTTCTGTCCTGCATTGATCATTAGCTGTGACAAATTCCATGGTAGAAGTGAGGAAAAGGAATCTCAAATTTCGGAATAGCCAATACATACCTCTTCGCTTTTATTGAATTTGAAAATATCGAGGATCATTCCCCAAAAGATATTCCTGCCTGACGACAGTCTACCTTTAAAGGGAAAAAAAAGAGGTGTCTTTCAAAAAAAACTCAAGACATAACAATCATAGTATATGCAAATTTTGATTAAAATTTGTTGCCTGAAAATTCACTAAAAGCAATCCATAATTGCTGTTAATAATCCACATTTTTCGGGAAAGAAATAAATCTAAGAATGTGTGTGTGTGCGTTTTCTTTACTTATTAAGAAAACAGTTCAGTATTCAAAAGTGGAAAATAGATCCAAACAGTAAAACTACGCCCTATAATATATAATACTTCCAAGAGACTATCAATTGAAATTCTCTTTTAGTCTTTCAGTGCCGCTTGTTCAATAAACTAGTTCATTTTGTTCTCAGAGGCCACGGTAACGAATCCTGCAATATTGCTTCTTTGCGTGGTTCTTATTTTCCTATCTCTGCCCACGGGCAACGGTAACGCTTTCGTGGGTCGCCGAGTACATCTCTGCTTTCGTTGTTACTTTACATAAACATATCTCTTTTTTCCGGCTGGGCAGTATTTTTAAGCAAAGACGTCGGTCACTACCTCAAGCCGATAAATAACTAATTAATCCTTTCTTTGTACTCTCTCAAATCACTTCGGTTGACAGAAAAATATTGGAAATGAATTTGTATAAGCAAAAGCCTCATTAAATTAGTTGACAAGCGGCCTAAAAACAGTCTGTAATTAATTTTAATCCATCACAAAAAGATGAAAACGTGGGGTATTTGGTATTTTGGTCACAATCGAATTAATCGATGGAATTTTCATTCTTATAATATCTGAATTCTTTCAAACAATTTGTTCGTAGTGAACAAAATAACCTCAAAATAAAAAATAACAAAAAAATCGAATTGACTTACTTTTACTTTCCTTATTAATTAATAATTAATTAATCGTCGATGAGAGTGAATAATACTTTCCGTAAGTTGAAGAAGACACTGTCGTTTCGGTGAAACAGCTCTCTTTAATTTGCATTACCTCTATTTTAACTACCATTTACTCGCTCAAAAAATTTTCAGTTAATGGAAGATCTTGCTGTAATTAAAGCCCCAAATCATTCAATTTCTTTTGGAAAGAATTTTGTTAAGTTTAAGAGAAAAAAATAAAAATGTTATTCATCACCTTAGGTCGGTCCGTATTGGGAAAAACTGTGGCCGAGGTCTTGAGTCCAATGCAGACTTCCAAGCTCACGAATGACATATTTTTTACTTAGAGGAATTCCTCGTCTGATTCGCAGAATCACTTTCTGTAACGGGGCAGACGCTGACATTAATCGATTCCATCTACGCCGCGTCGGAGAAATGTTTTATACAAACGAAACCTCCAAGCGTCTATCAATCTTAATATATCTATTATACTTGAAATCTCGCAAAAACTAAAATGCAATGAGCAAAAAGAAAGTTATTACCACACAATTCAAGCTAATCGAAATGTCCCAGACTCGAGCACGCGGGGCGTGCACACACAGAGATCTAAAAGGCATGTCCTATGGGAAACAAAACTGCCTTTCATTGTACACATTTCGGCATCTAAAAGCCAAGATAAATGAGATAAAATATCCGTTATCCGTTCCATTCTAACTTTAGTATTTCGACTCTATCTTTAACGTTAAACACGTCCGAACTCTTCACATGATTTCTGTACCGTTTACACGACTCTCTAAGTTGTTCTTTAGAGGTAAAAAAATCATATTGTCAATTATTTGTTTGGATGCAATTTGTTTTTAATTTTTTAGTTTCATTTTTTTTATTCAGTTCGAGAAAGCAAATATAACAAGGTTGGAATCTTATTCATAAACGCAACAGACTTTTTCTTTCCCAGTTGGATGTGGTCTCATTCTTATATCAGTTTAGAGTTGCGTCCTGAAAGAGGACTGAAAAACCTTTGAAATGATTGTTTTATCAAAATTTGTCATTTTGCAGCTACATGTATGTGCCAAGCTGTGATGAACAATTTAGGGTGCGTTGGTAAAAGATGAGAGCTGGCTCATTTGAAGTCCTCAATAAAATATTTTCCACCATACGTTTGGGCGTAAACGCTTGAAATTTTTATATTTAATGTATCAATACACGGAGAAAGCACGTTCGATTATCTTTGTAATAGCATAGAGAACAAATTTTTTTCTTATATCAACGATAATAGATAATAAACACGCAATTATCCCTTTGAACCCCCGCACTCACCAACGTCAAGGAGACTTGATTATCAGCTCTCAGAATCTTTTAAGCCTAAAAGATATATAATTCGCCTCTGCTCAATAACGAGTGCCCTCAAACATTTCAGAATGATGTGTAGAAATAATTAAGAAAAGCCCTCCTGAAATTAGATCGGCACTTTGCGTCAAATCGTTGCCAAGAAGCTTGGTTTCTTAATGCATAGCCTTTGTGCATTGAAACTTGAGTCCGAGATAAGTCCTTGATAAAATTGTTTTAACTATAGTGTCGTGACCAAATATTATGAATTTGACATGTTGATTCATTAAGGACATTAATTGTTTATCAGCTTAGAGAATGGAAATTGCCCGAACCTCCTTATGAGGTTTCTATTGTAGGAAGGCGCCTCGTGGACGCAAATTGCAAACGACTGAGAACACCTGTGCGGCTTGAAGATAATTAAGTCCTGAAGATTCCACTTCTCAAAGCAGAAATGAATATCAACAATGGAGTGAAGAGTTGTCTCCAATCACTTATCCAAAGTTACCCTCGTGATTACGTCCTTGTCCAAACTTACATGAACGCTCTCAATTTTTTATTTCTTATAGCCTGAAAGACTACTCCAGCCTTCTGCACATACAAAATAAAGCAAGTACCCGCACGACATTTGGCACATTTTTTTTTCATTTGATCCCTTTCAAGGCACTGCAAAACCTCAAAACCGCGGAGAGAGAGTGGAAACGAAGTAGAATTCGACCATCATCGTGTCAAAACAAATACACAGGCCTTCTATGGACAGCAATCATAGGTGATATTTGAAAACTAAATCCTAAAATTGATGGTCTGGTCTGTTGCAAAGCAGCCGTAGTTAAAAATTTTCCAAAACCTATTTTGAGATTTAAGCAAATTAAACTTACTCTACGCAACTCTGTATTTCGACTCTGTCCTTAACGTTAAACACGTCCGAACTCTTCACATGATTTCTGTACCGTTTACACGACTCTCTAAGTTGTTCTTTAGAGGTAAAAAAATCATATTGTCAATTATTTGTTTGGATGCAATTTGTTTTTAATTTTTTAGTTTCATTTTTTTTATTCAGTTCGAGAAAGCAAATATAACAAGGTTGGAATCTTATTCATAAACGCAACAGACTTTTTCTTTCCCAGTTGGATGTGGTCTCATTCCTATATCAGTTTAGAGTTGCGTCCTGAAAGAGGACTGAAAAACCTTTGAAATGATTGTTTTATCAAAATTTGTCATTTTGCAGCTACATGTATGTGCCAAGCTGTGATGAACAATTTAGGGTGCGTTGGTAAAAGATGAGAGCTGGCTCATTTGAAGTCCTCAATAAAATATTTTCCACCATACGTTTGGGCGTAAACGCTTGAAATTTTTATATTTAATGTATCAATACACGGAGAAGCACGTTCGATTATCTTTGTAATAGCATAGAGAACAAATTTTTTTCTTATATCAACGATAATAGATGATAAACACGCAATTATCCCTTTGAACCCCCGCACTCACCAACGTCAAGGAGACTTGATTATCAGCTCTCAGAATCTTTTAAGCCTAAAAGATATATAATTCGCCTCTGCTCAATAACGAGTGCCCTCAAACATTTCAGAATGATGTGTAGAAATAATTAAGAAAAGCCCTCCTGAAATTAGATCGGCACTTTGCGTCAAATCGTTGCCAAGAAGCTTGGTTTCTTAATGCATAGCCTTTGTGCATTGAAACTTGAGTCCGAGATAAGTCCTTGATAAAATTGTTTTAACTATAGTGTCGTGACCAAATATTATGAATTTGACATGTTGATTCATTAAGGACATTAATTGTTTATCAGCTTAGAGAATGGAAATTGCCCGAACCTCCTTATGAGGTTTCTATTGTAGGAAAGGCGCCCCGTGGACGCAAGCTACAACCGACTGAAAACACCTGTACGGCTCAAAGATAATTAAGTCCTGAATTTTCCACTTCTCAAAGCAGAAAAGAATCACGATCGGTCAAGCCATTTGAACTTTATTCTTTTACTATTTATTCCCAAAAAGTTTTTTGACGGAACTCAATTATCAACAATTGAGAGAAAAGTTGTCTCGAATCATTTATCCAAAGTGAAACTCATGATTCAGTGTTTACTTTGTTGTTACTTTGTGTTGCTTTTTTTTAAATGTGGATGAGAGTCTTAGAGACTACTCTAGCCCTCTGAACATACAGAATAAAGCAAATTCCCGCCGACATTTGGCAAACGTTTCTTTTTTTCATATGATCCCTTTCAAGGCACTGGAAAACCTCAAAACCGTTGAGGAAAGTAGAACCAAAGTACAATTCGACCATCATTGTGTTAAAACAAATACACAGGCCTTCTTTGGATGGCAAACAAAGGTGATAGTTTAGGGAGCATGCTTGTAGTTACTGTGTTAAAAAATGTCCCTATCGAAATATCGCATTTTTTTATGTTCAATTTTTAAAAACACCAAATAGGCTTTCTAAATCTTAGCTGATATCAAAGAAACTATTCATTTTCTGCGAGTGCGTGTCTACTAGTATCACGCGTTGAGTCGCTTTTTTTCCCCGCAATGACCTTAAGTCAGATTATAAACTAGCATAATGATGAATCTTTCGTGTAAAATTATGGAAAGAAAAGTGTTCCAAAACTTTGCGCCCCAAAGGAAGTTGTAAAAAGTTGTAGAAAGTCGTTATAAAGAAATGCCATTTGAACCTCTTCATTCTCCGGCCAATATTTCAAATTTAAAGGTTTTCTATCGCCTGTGAAGAAGA